GCGCTGAGGCCGGGATAGAGTGAGCTGAGGCGGGCTGGACTCCGCTTCGTCCACGGTGAAAGGCGATCTGGCGATCCACAGCACAAAGTTGATGTATTTCCTCAGCGACCAGCACGGATCAGCTCCAGGCATGACGAAGCGGATATCGTCCTCTTCTGGAAGGCCAAACAAAGTAGTTTCGCTTTCACAACGACACACACAGCGTCTTCACGACCTGGTGGCAGCAACAATACTAGAGCGAGAATAAAAGTTACGCCTTCTTTTTTTGCGTGAACATTTGGTTATGCAAATCTTCCCACATCGTGATGTAGATGGGGGCGTGTTAGAACGAGCTGTTTTAGGTAGGCGTGGTTAACTCTTAACTTTTATAAAGAATATCTCTTTGGATTTGAGACTTTAGTCTTTGCAACTTTACAGATCTTCTTTATGCACCAAGAGCTTGTAACACTCCAAGAGAAAGGAAAATTTGAAATAGCATCATATGACCCTTTAACAGGATCTTGATTGTTTTCTCTGCGTGTAGTTATTTGTCTTGTGTTATTTTAGGTTGTATGATGCTTCAAATGTTCACAATTCACATAAATAGTTCACATACATAAGTATCTTGGTTCCAAGAAGTTTGTGCTTGTAGGAGACTCATTGGTGCAGACAAGTGAAAGAGAAAAATTAAGCAAACAAATACAAAGTTAACTTTTATCTTGTTTCAGATGTAAAGAAGAAATCTGATTATTAATAAAACCTGTCATTGAAGTCATGGCATGATTTCGGTGTGTTAAATTCTTATAAGAAAGGTTTTATCATCCATACAATGGTTAACTTTGATTCAAATTTATTTTGCCCTTCACACTATGCGAGTACCTGATATCCTAGAATTGGTGTCAGCTGTCATTTCGTTCTTCATGATCCGTTTTGTAGGTCACAGAAGATGGTCCAGTACAAATGGGTCAAGTTGTCACCTATAGACTTGGTGTTTGAACAAGCTTGTGGTAAAGATATTTTTTGTATTGGCTGACTATTGGGACCTTGACATCAAAACATTTGCTTAGTTTGTTGTCTGTCATTGATCTTTTCTGATAAGTGGAAACATACATTTATTTGCATGTGATCAAAAATAACTATAAAGCAAAGATAGGAATTCTTACATGTATCTAAATTATTTTATTCAGGGTGTGAAATTACTTCTTCACACTAAACATTTTTTTTTTCCATTTTTATATTTCCAGCTCAGATATATAAAATATATATATTTTTTAAATATGTAAAATTGAATAAACATGGTAAGACCTTTGTAAGTAGTGGACCAAAAAAGATTCTCTTTGCACTCTTCCCTGGCCTTGATAGTGAAGTTGACTCTCTTTTTGGTCCACTTATCTTTTCATTCACACTGTTGTCTGTACAGGTTGACCCCAAAATGACAAAATACCCATTATGAGTAGGGATGCACCGGAATGAAAATTCTGTGCCGAAACCGAAAATTCTGGATGCACTTGGCCGGAAACCGAAACTACTTTGTAATAATTATTTTATTAAATAATATAAAGTCATTTTGTAAGACTTTTTAATTTAACTCAATTTTAATGACACTGAATCAAAAAACACAAACCAATAAAATAACCACAATTTTACAGAAAATATATAAATATTAAATATCAATATATTATCTTTATTCAGTTCTATGCAACAGAGTCTGGTAGAACTGTTTTATTGCCCAGTTCAGCAGTCCTACACTGTTACAGCACAGTATCGCTATTGCAAACAGGAACAAGTATACTACATAGAAATTTCCTGCCGGAGCTTTGTTTGAGCGGCCTATGCTTTTTCGGTGAGCATGAGCGGTACCAAAGTTCCTTTAAAGGGATAGTTCACCCAAAAATGAAAATTTGATGTTTATCTGCTTACCCCCAGGGCATCCAAGATGTAGGTGACTTTGTTTCTTCAGTAGAACACATTTGATGACTTTTAAGTCCCAACTGTTGGAGTCTTATAATGCATGGCAATGGTAACAAAATCTGTGTGTAAAAAAAAAAAAACGTGCAGACAAATCCAAATTAAACCCTGCGACTCGTGACGACACATTGATGTCCTAAGACACGAAACGATCAGTTTGTGCCAGAAACCGAACGGTTTATATAATTTTTTTTTACCTTTATTACAACACTATGTCCAACTGTCTTTGTGTGCGCGCGCACGGCTTTCGGTGCGTGAGTTGTGTACGCGCTCTGGTGTAGTTTGTTAATGGGTGTTGTCGTGGGAGGAGCAAACGACAGACACAGTTTTTTTTAACAGAAAATAAACAGTGTCCAAAAAAAAGGGAATCAAGTGTCCAAAATAAACAGGGGATCTGGTGTCCTCGTCGTGCTGCGGGATTCGTGAAGGGAAGGGCAGTGGTCAGGAAGGAAGGGTCCAGGTAAGGGGCTGAGTCCGGCGGTCGCACACGCGCCCCGCTCCGTTCCGGGGCGCGAGGGGCGGCGGCTTCTATCAGCAGCTTCGTCCTTCTCTCTGCCCACCGCACTTGAAGGGACTAGACGGCCCAGCATCCTTGCCCGACGGCCGTGTAACGGGTGCGGTTCTCGTCCGGACTGCGGGTCCGGCAGCTCACGACTCTGGTGGCACGGGAGTTCCTCTACGCACCCCTCCTGGGCGCGCTCGGCATTTAAACAGCGGCGGTGATGAGGCTCCATTCGGTTCAGGTGTGCCCCATCACACGCCACCAGCCCTGGCTATTCCAGCGCCCCTCCTCTCTCACGCACACACTCATGTCGGGAGCGATTAAGGGACGGGGTGATGCTGATAATTAAGGGGAGGCAGCCGACTCGTCACAGTGTGTTGATATCCAGCCTAAGAGTAATCAACCATAACTTCAGGCGAGCAGGCTCAGAAGTTGGGAATATGTGGAAAGTCATAACTCCCGAATGAGTTGGCGCGAGAGAACGTAATCTTTTAGTTTTAAATCGGTTTGAACAATCCGGATAAGCGGAAATAAGTACCATTTTGATTAGCCGTCGTACCTACAATGACTGAGCAAACAATGAGTGACGTATACGCGTGAGAGATCACTTTCGGCGCTTGCGTAAACTACGTCAGAGCGCGTACACACCTCACGCACCGGATGCGTGCGCGCGCTCAAAGCAGTTGGACATAGTGGTGTAATAGAGGTAAAAAATTATATAAATACTGTTCGGTTTCTGGCACAAACAGATTGTTTTGTGTCTTAGGAAATCAATATGTCGTCACGAGCCGCAGGGTTTAATTTGGATTTGTCTGTGCATGTTTTTTTTACTCTCATAGATTGTGTTACCATTGCCATGCATTATACGACTAATAGACTGCAACGGTTGGACTTAAAAATCATCAAATGTGTTCTACTGAAGAAACAAAGTCACCTACATCTTGGATGCCCTGGGAGTAAGCAGGTAAACATCAAATTTTAATTTTTGGGTGTACTATCCCTTTAATGTGCTTTTGCACTACAATAATGCACTCTCGACATTTGTCATTAAAATAACACCATAGAATTAGTGGTCGACCATTATCGGCATCTGCTGATAATTTTTTTTCTGTATTGCCGACGTGTTCGAGGCGGGATTTTTTTTATTTTTTTATCTGATACAGATTGAAGTCCGAGATACGTGATCGACAAACATTAAACTTGTGATTTCAAATTATGCTGCACTTTATCTATTTGCCCACTGTCATTTTCACAGTGTGCTGTACGTAAAATGAGTGTTACCTTGGTTTTATTAAAAAAAAAAGATTCCCAATGCAAACAAACATCCCAGATTACTGAGTGCCATCTAAAATGTTTATTTGACATTTATTTTTTTTATCTATTTCTCTCTCTCTCTCTCTATATATATATATATATATATATATATACACACACACACACATATATCGGCCATCGGCCACCCTGCTCTCTAAGATAGCAGCATTGGCTGTCAAAAAAAACAATATCGGTCGACCACTAGTTGGAAGCAAGTCTCTTCAACTCATCTGTCCTTCATTCCTGTTGTTTCAGCCTGCTATGGAATTGTCCAAGTCCCCACAGGCCCCTGGTTCTGCAGGAAATGTGAATCACAGGAACGTGCTGCCAGGGTGGTGAGTTTCCTCATCTTTATATAAATCTTTCAGGCTATCTGTTTTGCTGAAGTCCAGATCTCCTTCCACTTTTGTATATTGTGGGTTTGTTTGCAGTTTCCATTTGACAGATGATATTATTTATAATTGATACTTTGAACTGGTCTAGGGCTGCACGATAAATCGCATGCGATATTTAATGCGCATCTTGTCAGAAAGCCGTTTCTGTAATCAGCGGTAAATCTCCATCACCTGCGTGCTTTCACATTGATGTTCAGTTAATGCTGCTCAATGTGAAAGCCCGACAGGCATTCAGTGAAATTCCCTGTGATCAGACAGTTCAAAGTATGGACTTCATCCTTTCTGAAGTTTTGTCCATGAGCTATTGCTAGTTCACCCAAAAATGAAAAAATAAGTCTTTATTTACTCACCCTTGTGTTCTTCTTTCTTTTTCATACCACAAAAGGAGAAATTTTAAGAATTGTCCCTCTCACAGTCATCCATAAAATATCAATGAATAGCGACCCAAAAGTATCACAGAATGGTCCCATGCGACACATGCCTTTTAGTATTAGTGTTTTGGGGATATAAAAGTTTGGTGAAAACAAACCAAAATTGTATGTATTATTTAAAGGGGTCATATGATGTGGCAAAAAATAACATTATTTGGTGTATTGAAATGTGTTTATGCGGTTTAAGGTTAAAAAAACACATTATTTTCCACATACTGTACATTATTGTCTCTCCTCTATGCCCCGCCTTTCTGAAACGCGTCGATTTTTACAAAGCTCATCGGTCTGAAAAACGAGGTGTACGCTAATTGGCCAACTATCCAGTGTATTGTGATTGGCCGAATACCTCAAGCGTGCCATGGAAATGTTATGCCCCGGCCTTTACCATTCTGTGATGCCATGTCCTACTGGTGTCCAAGGCCGGGGTGACAAGACAAAAACATTAAAACCCATTATAATAGGCCAGGTGGATTCGACGAAGGAGCGGCCGGCGGGCTTGCGGCAACCACATGTGACGACCCTGGGCTGGACTCCGCTTCGTCCACAGTGAAAGCCGATCCGGGGATCCACAGCGCAAAGTTGATGTATTTCCTCAGTGACCAGCACAGATCAGCTCTAGGCATGACGAAGCGGATATCGTCCTCTTTTGAAAGGCCAAACAAAGTAGTTTCGCTTTCACAACGAAACACACAGCGTCCTCACGACGCAGCGGTAGCGGCAACAACAATACTACAGCAAGAATAAAAGTTACACCTTCTTTCTTTGCGTGAACATTTGGGCGGCGTTATGCAAATCTTCCCACATCGTGACGTAGACATGTGGGGTCGTGTTAGAACGAGCCATTTTAGGTAGGCGTGGTTGACTCTTAAATTTTATAAAGAATATCTCTTTGGATTTGAGACTTTAGTCTTTGCAACTTTACAGATCTTCTTTATGCATCAAGAGCTTGTAGCACTTCAAAGAGAAAGGAAAAATTGAAATTGCATCATATGGCCCCATTAATGAGAATCCTGACCTTGGGAGTTGGTTTCTGTGCATGGCTGTGCCTTCATGAGACTCTCTTACAGTACATGGATTGTGCTTGCATTGTATTTTGTGTCATGTTTTTATTAATCTGGATTTCTCACTTGATTGCTTTTTCTGGGTGAGTTGGAGTGAACTATAGAGTCTCATGAAAGCTCAGCCATGCACAGAAACCAAAGATTAAGGTCAGGATTTTCATTAAATGATACGTTAAATTTTTTGTTGTTTTTCACCAAACTCTATTGTGTACCTCCAGAACACTTGACACGTGTTGCGTGGGACCATTCTGTGATGCTTTAGCATCTTATTTAAAAGCTTGACGCTGGTTGCTCGCTATTCACTGTCATTATATGGATGATTGTGAGTGGGACATTTCTTTAAATTTCTCTTGGCTTTTGCGTTAAATGATAACTTTTCTTTTTTTTGGTGAACTATTCTTTTAATGATGCATCAGACACATGGAATGGTGATGACATCACTTACTATTTACTAATTACATATGTACTGTTCTATTCAATGTATTTAGACGATTATAAATAAGTAGATTCTTAACATTTCATTAGTATTTAGTTTGAATGCATTTTTAGGGTATTTAGACCTTTAGAAGCAAATAAACTAGCCAATTCAGCACAGAGTTAAAGGGATAGTTCACCCAAAAATGAAAATTCTGTCATCATTTACTCACCCTCAAGTAGTTCCAAACCTGTATAAATTTCTTTGTTCTGCCTAACAGAAAGGGAGATATTTTGAAGAAAGTTTGTAACCAGGCTGTTTTGGGGCACCATTGACTTCCATAGTAGGAGAAAAAAATACTATGGAAGTCAATGGTGCCCCAGAACTGCTCTGTTTCCCACATTCTTCAGAATATCTTCCTTTATGTTCTGCAGAACAAAGACATTCATACGGGTTTGAAACTACTTGAGGGTGAGTAAATGATGACAGAATTTTCATTTTTGGGTGAACTATCCCTTTAAGTCACTCTAGTCATCACTATGCACAATGGCACTGTTGCACTCTGGGATAGTGTTGAATGTGTCACTTGTTTACTGCAAACAAATTAGCAGTATAGTCTGAAGTGAATGGTACTTGTTACGTTGTCTGGTCTAGGGTTGTTGCAATCATTTTCATAATATTTTATTTCATGGTCTTTTATTGATACCATAGATTCATATCAGTATTTTAATTTTTTCATGTTTGCATTCATATCATGTGATTATGAAGCAGGTTATACATGTGTAAACTCTCAGACTGCAGTTTCTCTGTGTGATCTTTTAGAATGCTTGAGTTTTCAGACTTTTGCAGTTAAGATGTTTATAAAAACCATAACCATTCAGAAATCATAATGTCTGGAAGTGGGCGGAATCGTTTAACCTTGGTTTGTATGTATATTGATGCATATAAAGACAATATGACTTGGCAGGACTCTTAGGCCTATATGTATAACAGATGTTATCAGACTTAATAATGTGATATTACACTAAACATTTTTGCCTTGTCTGAATGGTAAGAGGTTTGAAATATTTTAAGCTGAAAAGATCAGAATTGTTGAGTTGTACAAAAAGCTTCTTTATAGCTCAGGCTCAAGTCCGCCGTTGTCCAGCTTCAGAGGTCATATGTCTTTTTTTCTCCATTATTTGTTTAATCACTGTTTTGGCCATTTGTAGAGCAATTTGTATCATGTAGTAACATAGTGATTACATATAATAATATGCCAATACATATTGTTTTAATGAATCATAAGTGGCACTTTAGAGCCAAAGAATAGTGGGTCACACAAGTAGGGTTGGGGTACCGAAATGGCACCGATACCTTTATGATCAGTATGTACCGAACCGAATCAGAACGCAGATGTTGGTGCCTCAGTTCGGTGCCACTTAAATGCCTGAGCTGTCGATTGCCCTCTGGTGCTTCATCAACAACATCATCTACAACAATTGCGTGTAAAGGGCAAAACACATCAAACCTAATGAACGTTTGAGGACACACGGAATAAACTTGAAAGCAGAGGGATGCTCCGTGTTCGACATCAGCTGGCAGTTTCAGTAGATTTATTTATTTATTTTTAAATAACTTACTTTTGTGATCTGAAGTCACACAATGAAGCAATGTTCTATACCGATATGGGTTTTTTGACAGCCGATACTGATGCCGATATCTTGGAAAGCAGGGTGGCCGATATAATGCAGATATAATTGTATTTATTTTAATTCATATTTAAGAAATTTGAAATCATTTAAAAATGGATTTAAAAAAATAAACATGTAAAATAAACATACTTATACTCTAGAAGACAAAGTATTTTTCACAAATAAATAAATATTTAATAAAAATATAATTAAAAAGGAAATAAACACTGTAACCAACAGGGCACTAAGTATTCTGGGAAGTTTGTGTGCATTGGGAATCATATTTTTTCGAATAACGCAGCCATTGGTAACACATATGTGATGCTGTGCACGGTTTTGTACTGCTCTATATTTTGCTTTAAGGTTTTGATGGTTGAGTGTTTAACAGATAAAATATTTGATAAAATCTTTGAAAAATAAACCATTTGATGGGTTAACATTTATGTGGGACGTTTATTATTACCTCCACAACGCGCACAGATAAACCATATATTGTCACAGTTGTGTGTTTATTGTCCTCATGTTTCATCATTAAAGCATTTCTATCTTCTTTTTACTCCGCTACAGCGATGGCTGGATGCCTTTGTCCATATTAGGCATTTCTAGGAACTTCATGAGTTTTATTACTTCTGTGATGCATGTTTGGGGTTTCTGCGTGAGGGTGCCGTCTGGCTACGAGTATGAATGAAACAGATAGTGTGCTAGCACTCAGTAATGCTTATTCTATCCTATTTGGGGTAAAAATAGGAAAGAAGAAATTTCTATTAAATGCATGATAATCCACACTTTTTGTAAGTGTTCAGAAGTTTGTTTGTTTTTTAAACAGAAAAATTGTGATTAGAATTTTTTCCCTCCAAATTGTGCAGTCCTACTTTAATGTCATCCAATGTTGTTTTGTGGCTCTTTTTTTAATGTGTTGGTTTAGGCACCAGTACCATTTAAAAAGTATTGATTTGAAAAAAAATGATACCCAACCCTAGTCACAAGAAGGGGAAACTTGTTACAGCTCATTACATTTTTCAATGCCAACTGCTCTCAGTCTGAAAATAAACAGGACTTCCCTATTATTATCCACTGGTTTGTCATGTAATATTTTTGTGGCCTTTTTGCCGTTTCTAGCCAAGATTTGTGAAAACCATAGCTTGCACTATCAGAAAGATTTCTTACTGGAGCATTTTTAAAACTAAGCCTTTTTTTTGTATTCCCAAAGCATAATTATGAAACCAAATTTCTACATTTGTCCTCATTCCTCCACTTACTAAAAATAAGCCAATTTGTGCCCTGCTCTGCCACTTTATTCCCAAAGATTAAAGGGTGGAGGGGGAGAAAGCCGAGCTGGCAGACCCCTGAAGAAGGAGGACTGTCCACCACCTGTAACAAAGAGGAGGAGGACAGCAGACTGAGCAGAAGTTTAAAAACTTTGAACATAGTGGTATGTGGCAAGTAATGGCATGGTTCCAAGCACAATGTTTTGCCCCAATATCTAACCCTGTTCAAGGCTTTAAAGATGAGTGAAATGTCATAGTATTTATGCATGATATGCTGTATAATAGACCATGTGTCAGTGCCCATTTCTTGAGGACACTTTCAACCCTCTCTATTGTTTTTGTTGTTCAAAAGGGGTAGTAGCTGTCTTTATTCAATCATTCATCTCATATTCACACTGTTTTATTTTCTTGTCCTGTCATTCGTTTCAGAAAAATGTTGTCTAAACCTGTTTTTTTCCTATAGCAGAACAGGTCCTATTTTATTCTTGAATACAGAAGCAGCTCTTCAGGGATGTTTTCCCGCTCCAGTCAACTATCAAAGGCTTTTGTCTACAGTTTCATTGATGCTCTGTTCTCTAGTTTAAAGGGGAAAAAATTATGTCTAATCCTTAAACTCTGCTTTAATTTGATGTCCATGTCAGAAGTAGAGTTCCTGAAAGCCTTCAGAGCTGTGTCTGGTCTGCAGATGGTCAGATGGAGTGTGGATTCATGTATTTCTCTTCTTTTCACAGAGGTGCGAGCTGTGTCCCCACAAAGACGGAGCACTGAAACGAACAGATAATGGAGGTAAGACATCTAACTTTATGCTGACTGTTTGTATTTTGCACTTGTTCTGAGGAAAAACATCTCTAGCATTAGGCCTACTCTAAATGTTGTAGACAAGAATAGACTGCAGTCACTCTGTAGCTAAATATAGGCCAGTAGCGTAAAGATGTTAGACACTGCAGCCATTGGTAACACATATGTGATGCTGTGCACGGTTTTGTACTGCTCTATATTTTGCTTTAAGGTTTTGATGGTTGAGTGTGTTTAACAGATAAAATATTTGATAAAATCTTTGAAAAATAAACCATTTGATGGGTTAACATTTATGTGGGACGTTTATTATTACCTCCACAACAAGAAAATTGTCATTGTTTTCAAATGGGGTAAGTCAGCCCAGAGGTGATAAAATGATGAAAGCTCTTGAGAGGAACATATGCTCTGATGAGGATGACACCTTTCTATTTTTACGTGTCTAATGAAAGTCATTGTAAAAAAAACAAAACAATGCAGTGCATTGATTTCCTCTTATATGGCGTATTTCACTGCGATCCAGTTTTAATTATCACAGAGACGTTGCTGTAAAAAGGGTTTAATACCATATCTCATCAATAAGCTGTTAATTAGTCAAAAATATCTTCGTCTCACCTCAACAAATTTAATTTAATTTGTGTTTCAGGAAAATATTGTGACGAATAAATGCATTAAGCATTCAGGCGTATTTTTTAACATTTATTTTTATAAAATGCACCTAAACTGTTCAGTGCTTCCTAGGGCTGG